TTCCGAGGACTGCCCTTGAGAGAACAGGCTCTGAGAGAACTTGTAACTGACCCAAGGTCACGCCAGCAGCTGGAGGAGTGGAGGAACAAACCCGGTTCTCCCAGATTAGAGCCCACGCTCCTATCCGCGACACCAAACTGGCTCAAGAGGTATAATGCTATACAGTCCACCCACCAAAGCAGCCGTTTTCTCCACGGGAACTTTATAATCTGGAGATCAGGTGTAATATTGGGAGATCTCCAGGCCCAACCTGGAAGGTGGCAGCCCTCAGATTACTACCCTGGCTGGGACTCAAGAGTGGGTCGGCCTGCAATGGGATGTGACCATAGACTGACCCCGCAGGCCGAGGGACCCCATGTGCTTCTCCTCTTGAACGTAGACCGCCTTCTGCTGCGGCGTCAGTGGAAGTGAGATGCCACCACTGTTGAACGTGGAACAGTGCTGCATGACTTCTTCAAAGGCTCCCTTCATAAAGTACACTTCCTCCTCTTCCTCCTCCTCCTCCTGTGAGATAAGGATACAAACAGAAACACAGGGGGCACTGAATGAATCGAAAGGCAAAGGCCTGCATGGTTTGGTTTCTGCTAGCATTATTTCTATGACAGTGTCCTTCCCTCTGTAGCCACACATACAGAGGTTTTGGCTGTAGTGGGTGTGGCCAGCTCTGAAGCCAACCGGAACTCTGTTCCTGTGCGTTCCTGCCCCAAAATAGCCCTGCACATATATGCATCGTGGGATGTCAGAAGTGGACTCTCTGATTTCAGACCATAAATGGAGTGTGGTGGGGATGGAAGGTGCCGTCAAGTCATAGCCAATTTATGGTGGCCTCTCAAGGTTTTCAAGGCACGAGATGAACAGAGGTAGTTTTGCCATTGCCTGCTTCTGTGTTGCAACCCTGGACCTCCTTGGGCTAGCTGGAGGGTACCCTATTTGAATCCTCGTTTATGTTTTTTTTAAAAAAAATCCATTCTCAATAAAGAAAAATGTTAGCTCAGTAAGCAATAACCCGACTCCATGGATTATAGAACGGGTTTCCCTTCATTTTATCCTAACACCCCTGTGATTTAGGATGGGCTGAGGTCACCCAGGTAGCTGACTGGGGATTTGAATAGAGGCCTCCGAGTCTAACCAGTACCACACATGTTATATCTAGTCTGGACTAGAGGGGGGCATGTATGCCACCTTTAGTGCACTGGAGGAACATTAGGATTAAAAAAATGTGAAGCATAAATTCTTTTAATCAGACTCTATTGAGAAGGAGAATAAACACTGAAATTTTCACAGAGGGTTATTTGGGATAAATAAAGTTGACAAGTGCACATCTTTGTACCTGATTTTTCAGGGCGCATTTGACAGCCATCCACTTCTGCTCCGAGCTAAACGGAATCTCCTTCTTTTTTACGTAATTATCCTTTATATTGCTTAGTTCCATCTGCAAGGAGTAAAAGAAAAGAGACTTCTTCATGTATTTCGGTGGTAGCTCTAAAACCAGACATTCAATAACTGGAACAGTTTCTTTTTTTTAAGCTCGTTTTACTTTAGACTGGAAAAGTATGCCAGGGACAGTCAAAGTCAACACAAAGTCACAAACAGCAAAAGGTGGCAAGAAAGAGAAACAACGTCAGTTAACGGCTCATTTACACTGTAATTTCTAATCAGTTACATGCAAGCCCAAAGAAGAATTTGATCACTACACAAGGTAATACAATTTGATTAAATTTATCAGGCAACTGCTAAAATATGAAAATTTGCAGATGTAACAAAGTAGCTTTATCTGAACAGGACAAAATTAAATCATTCCATTGGTTAAAAAACCCTACATTCAGTTTTACCAAACAAAATTTCACATGAAAAGTATTGTGTGATTCCAAAGTTTTTGAATATTTCCCATTTTGCTTTTCAAACATGACTTGCAGGGTGGCTTTGGAGACAATATCCAGTATTAGCAAGCCAAAACTCAGGGGTGATTTCAGAAAGGAACATTTTAATGATATATGACCCATTTGAAAGGGGGGAGCCAAACATTCCTCTGGTCATCTGCAAACCCTCAGAGAGGTCTAAAGCAGGTCTTGGGGAACCAGCCAAGATCTCCAGGTCAGGTTGGTCTCCAGATGCCGTTCGTTTACAATATGGAGGTCACCACGATTCTTGCTTAATTCACTTTTTGATCAATTACCAGATCAGATGTATGCTAAATTCTCTCTCTCGTTCTTGGCGACTTTAGAAAGCAAACTATTGTTTTACAGATTAAACACAACCCGATTGCATCTAAAACCAATGAGCAGGGAAGTTTCTACTACCACCCTACCTTCATCGCAAGAGCTACTAGGGCTCCTTCGGTTGGCTGACCCATCACAGTGGTCTTTCTGATAATAGCATTGTTGGCAACACAGCCAGCCTGAAAGAGACCCATTTATACATGTTATTTGTTGGGGAAGGTGGAAAGGGTGAATGTGTAAAATGCTGTACCTTAAAGGTGGAGTTTGGAACATCTGCTCCGTTCAAAACTAAGAGGAGATTGAAAGCTAGCCCAGTGTTCCCTCTAAGCTGGGTGAGTGTGAGCTAGCTCACAGTTTTTTAGCCTCCGGCTCACACATTTTTGCCTTAGCTCCGGAAGGATGGCTCCAGAGCAAACAAGCTAATTTATGCAATAGCCAAATCGCTCGTTCACAAATTTAATGCCGGTAGCTCACAAAGTAGAATTTTTGCTCACAAGATTCCACAGCTTAGAGGGAGCATCCCTCCTCCTATATTTCCGATGCGCTGCCCACATGTAATAATTTTAAAGAGGCACATATATACAATTACATATTTTCATCTGTCATCTCTGAAAAACTCACAGACTTTTTGGAATTGCAAATCTTCTTAACAGACTGACAGAAAATGGGTTGGTAGCATCACACGTCATAGCCAATAGACACCCGCACAGAAGCACTTTGTACAATACCGTACCAGAAAGCCGGTGGAACTGGGGTGGGTTTAAAATAGTAGCTTAGAGCTCATTCCAGAAAGTGAAAATGCACATTTGTTTAGAATGAGCAAAATGGCTTCCACAGCTCAGGAAGTAATGCTATATGTTCTCTCTTAGACGTTACCACAATTTCATAACTCTCATCAATAGTACCTGAATTGAATAACTCACCTCCACTAGTTTTCCGACAGATATATTTGAAAACTCTTTGATGACTTCTTTGGATGGCAGAAGGTATACGTTTCCCTCTCCGTTGTATCCGACCCCACTCACCTGGGAAAATAGAATTCATGGAATTCCAGGATCCCATTTTGTAGCCAAGCTCTTCAACAACAATGGGATGTTTAGCAGAGAGCTGTCCTATCACTGAGCCAGCAGTCAATACACTTAAAAAGTATAGTGTTAGAACTAGATCAAAAAATACCTTCCACTTCCTGAAAGGTTCTTTAACAAAGATAAGGATGGAGGGGGTCTTCTCATCAAATGACTCTTTTGGATCCAGCCATGTGGTTTGGATCGAACTCCTACTTTATAGAATGAAAGTAGAGATACTAATCCATGTAATAGGGCAGTGGTGGCGAACCTACGGCACGGGCGCCAGAGGTGGCACTCAGAGCCCTCTCTGTGGGCACGCGTGCCATCGCCCCAGCCAGGCCCAGACCATCATTAAAGTGTCAAATTCTCTGCCAAATCATTTTAAGTCAATGAAAGCATTTGGGATTGCTTTCCTTACTTTCTTTGGATCATCTTAAGTTAATGTATGATTTGTTCTTTCTAAAGTAAAACCTCAGTATTCAGGTTAAATGGCCGTGTTGGCACTTTGCGATAAATAAGTGGGGTTTGGGTCGCAGTTTGGGCACTCGGTCTCTAAAAGGTTCGCCATCACTGTTCTAGGGCATCAGTATTCTGGGACTGAATGGAGGTTTTTTTTTTTTTTTTAAAGGTAGCAGGGATGTTTGGTGAGGAGGGGGAAAGCACGTGTAACCCTTTCGGAGCCCTCTCTTGTGAGATATTACTGAGCAAAGCCAATCTATAGCCTATCAGATTTGGGATTGATGGGTTTACTAGAAAATCTATATGTCTTTTTTTCTTTTTAAAAAAAGAACAAATAAAAATGAGAGATCAGATAAGAGCATGACAACTTTAAGTGGATTGTCAGGATGAGTATTAAAACTGATGACTCTGCGAAGCAAGAATTCTCGGACCGCACCTCAGCCTTGAACCCGTCCGAGGTGACAAGCTGGGTTACTGTCATCTCGTTGGCCGTCAGAGTCCCCGTCTTATCGGAGCAGATGACGGTGCAGCAACCTAAGGAGGAGGAAGGATCTGTCAGGGTCAACACAGAAACCAGTCCCTCGGTGCAGGGAAACATTCAGACACAAGGTCTCCTCTGCCTTCCTCTCCCCACACCCCCTTGTTCTGAAGTGGTGCAGACCCAGGAAGACTGTACCATGCACGTATGCAGGGGTCATTTCCTGCGGCCTTATAAAAGTTACAGTCCTTACGAAATGCCCCCAACATTTAGATGATCACCCGGGACAATTTGAAAAGGAAAAGTGATGTGTGCAAACAATTTATTTATTTATCAAATTTATACCCCCTGCCTTCCCTGCCGAAGCAGGCTCAGGGTGGGGTATGAATTTACACTTGAGGCGGCCCATAACAGAAGCGGATTCAGTTTGAGGCTACCCGCCCACCACCAGCCTTACCGAGCGTCTCGACAATCGGCAGCTTCTTCACAATGACACGTTTCTTGGCCATTCTCAAGACACCCAATACCAGCGTCACTGTGACCACGATGGGGAGGCCCTCCGGGATGGCAGCCACCGCCAAGCTGCATACAGACAATCGTTTACCACCGGTGTTATATACCGTCACCATCAATGTTCCCTCTAAGCTGTGGCGTCCTGTGAGCAAAAACTCTACTTTGTGAGCTATCGACGTTAAAGTTGTGAGCGAGCGATTCGGCTGCTGCATAAATCAGTTTGCTCTGAAGCCCTCCTTCCCGAGCGAAGACACAAATGTGTGAGCCGGAGGTTTAAAAACTGTGAGCTAGCTCACACTAACTCAGCTTAGAGGGAACACCGGTCACCATTACTAACTCCTGTAAGGAATTCTATCCAAGCATCATCCTGACGTCAGCACCCCTAATCCCAAACACAAAGTCAGTCCTTGTAGTTTATTATTTTTTTAATTTAAGCACGCTGGATTCCGGCTTTCCATCGGGAAGCTTCTGAGCCCAGGCCTGGTTGATCAAGACTGTTTGATGTGAGCTGAGGCCAAATAGTTGAAATTAATTGAATGTTAGACCAGGAAGATTTGAGTTCAAATCCCCGCTCAGCGGTGAAGCTTGTAGTCGCTCTCACTTAGCATAAGCTACCTCATGGGGTTGTTGTGAATATATATAACTTTGAACATGGGAGCCTCATACATCACATGCTTCCCAAGCTTAAACTCTCAAACTGGTCAGCATATATCGGAAGGGAAAATTAAAGTATTGGGTCTCTCTTTGGAATCCCTGTCCATGTTGCCTTTTGCCATTGCATTCCAACAGATTAAAAACAGGTTGTTAGACTCGGAGCGCCAAAATTTATATAGTTTAGCTAATAAAACCTGCTCCCCCTTGAATTTTGAGATTCCCCTTACAACAGGGTTGATGGCTTCGTATCTATCCTCTCTGCAGGTCTCTCAACAACGCAGAGCGTTCAGCCTGGCCAGATGTAATGCTATGCCGTCCGCCATTCTATTTGGCAGATTTAACAAGGTTTCTCATCTGGTCAGATACTGCCCTTGCAGATCGAAATGTGTGGAATCTACTTCCTCCTCCTCCTCCTTCTCCTTCTCCTTCTTCTTCTTCTTCTTCTTCTTCTTCTTCTTCTTCTTCTTCGGGACATTCAGAGGTGGTTTGCCGTTACCTGCCTCCACATCACAACCAGTGTTCCCTCTAAGCTGAGTTAGTGTGAGCTAGCTCACAGTTCTTTAGCCTCCAGCTCACACATTTTTGTCTCAGCTCAGGAAGGAGGGCTCTAGAGCAAACGAATGTATGCGGCAGCCAAATCGCTCGCTCACCACTTTCATGCTGGCAGCTCACAAACTAGAATTTCTGTCCCCAAGACTCCACAGCTTTGGGGGAGCATTGGCCACAACCCCGGTATTTCTTGGAGGTCTCCCATCCAAATACTAGCCAGGGCCAACCCTGCTTAGCTTCCAAAACCTGACAAGATCGGGCTAGCCAAGCTGCCCAGGTCAGGGCAAAAATAATGCAGTGAGAGGGAATATATGCCGCCCAAAGCTCCTTGAAGAAAGAGTGGGATAAAAATGAAATAAATATGTGGGTGGGACTGCTTTCTGATGTGCTGTCTCTGCGCCCCCCCCTCCAATGCTCCAGGCATGCTTTTCGCATGACACTTCTCCTCTCCGCCTATGAAGTCACAAGTCTAGTTCCTCCTCTTTTTGTCACATGTCATTTTGTCATATGATCTTCTGTCATATACTTATAACTCAGTGGGTGCGTTCAGACGCGGCGTTTGCAATGGTATAGGTGCCGGTTGCAATCGGTGTACTTACTGGCGTTCACACATAGAACATCTGCCTTCCGCCCCTAACCGTTGCAAAGCCCTTTAAACCGTTGTACTCTGCCACTAGGTCCCCAAGTGGTGGTATCCTGAGTACAACGGTTGTAATCGCTGTACCCCCGTCTGATCGCTCTCCACCGTTCCAGAGCCACTTCCGTTCGGAAGCCCGAGGCTTCCGA